CCCACGCCTCTTCCCATTAGGGCTGGAAGAGCCTCAGCCACTGCTCCCGTGGAGACAGCTTCCCTGCCTAACACGACTGTAGCATAATCCCGGGGCATTGATTGCTTCCCCAGATGGGGAAGGATTAACCCCATTATATGCAGAATCAAGCTCCGCCGTACCGTGAGGAGTGGGGGAGACTCAAATAGGGCATAGAACTTGATTGCAGGGCGAGATAGTTTTGCAGTTTCTCAGTTGTTATATTGAGCTTCCCCCTACGATCGTAATTAATCACAAACCGCTCAAGTGGAGGAAAGCCCTATTGCAGACAGATCGTAATCACAATACAAGTTTCTCAGCAATTATATTGAGCTTCCCCCTCCGATTGTAATTAACTACAAACCACTCTAGTGGAGGAAAACCCTACTGCAGACAAATCCAAAGCAAAAATAAGGGACAAATCGTAACACCCACGTGGCAGGGCTCAAAACAATCAACCAAACAGCTCCAGTGCCGGTCCCCACGACACCACCTGCCCTACCACATGGCCCGCGCTCGAGTAGGAAAGATTGGAAAAAGGCCAAATCAGAATATAAAACAGCGCCGGCGCCAGTCCTCACTACCCACCCTATGGCCACTTGGCCAGATTCAGATTCGGTAGAGCCAGCCTAACACCTGCACCCCTATCCGATCTGGCATCCTGGCATTCACTATCCAACCCCTTCGCGCCACCGCCCCAGTCGTTGTCCCCGCACACCCCCTCCCAGTTTGCCAATCAACCAATCCCCACGGCCCTCTCCCCACTCAACACCGAATGAGCGAAAGAAGGAAGACAAGAGGGGAGGCCGGGGGTGGGAAAGAGAATAGCCTGTCGCACTCACCACAGGATCGATGTGGTTGCCCAGTCGTTGTCCCCGCACACCCCCTCCCAGTTTACCAATCAACCAATCCCCACGGCCCTCTCCCGACTCCAAGAAGGAAGACAAGAGGGGAGGCAGGGGGTGGGAAAGAGAATAGCCTGTCACACTTACCACAGCATCGATGTTGTTGTTATCATTGTTGTTGTTATTGTCGTTTCCCCTGGCAGTATCGATGTCTTCATTGGTGATGATGTAGTTGCTATCGGTCCCAAGCCCGCATGACCTCAGGATCTCACCTTCCATACCACCGTCGTGCACAGTGCTGTTGTAGTCGGTGTAGTCGTTATTGTTGACATTGATGTCGTGTGCAGATGTCAGTGTCATAATCACGGGCTCTATCGGTCTGATCGATGTTGCTGATGATATCATCGTGAGTGCCTTAGATGCTGATGTAATCATCGCCTTATCAATAGTCGATGTTGTTATAATCGTTGTCGCAGTCGTTGCAGTCTGACGTGGACCCTTGTCATCATACTCGACGCGCCCCTCTTGTGCACGCTTCTCCAACGCAGTTCGCTGGACTTGAGCCTCGTCGAAAAGCTCATAGTATCTCTTCATCAGAATGTCGACATGCCCCCAGTTGATGAGAGGGTCCAAACGCGGGTCTGGCCCCTCCTCAGCTTCCCAGATGATCTCCATAATAGACTGAGTCATGTCCTTCACCCATTGCTCCAGTCCCGAGGCCGCTCCCCCGTCGACCTCTGGCCAGGTTTTGGCTGTTGTGGATAAGGCATCCACCAGACCCTGCAATCGCCATCGACCTGCCTCCAGGAGCGAAATCCATTGATCAGCTTCATATTGTAGATTGCTACTTGTCTCCACCAGACTCGCCATGTACGGTAATCTTTGCGCAAGGACGCCTTCTTCACGCTGACTACGAGATGCCATCTTCTCGCATGCACCTTCACCTGCCCTGTCAGTCAAATCCATTGCTGGTTGACTCACTAGCAACCTCTGGTATTGACGTCAACGCGTTCGGTCTTCCTCGGTAACACCGAGGCGTTGGGTCTCGAGACCGCCGGACCCGCCGGCCGGTACGCTCCCCGCGCGCTCGCGTTGGCTGGGCCACTACGTCTTCCACTGTGCCGCTTTTTCTTCTTTGAATGCTGGAGGGAGATCACACTACCGATGTATGTGGAGTAGCGGATAGGGCGTGTGACCCTTCGGCGCCGGTGATGAGAACGGTGATCAGTGGTGTTGTTTTTCTTGGTTTTCGGCGTAGGGAAACATGTGACTTTTGGGGGGCTCCCATTGGGTGGCATTTCTTTTGCTTTTGTTGTGGTGCTCCTCTGGGGGTCATGAACGTGCGTGAAAATCATACCGACGTTTTTTGGTTGGATTTTCACACACCTTCCACTTACGTTTGCGTCGTTGCCCATGCGTTCAAAAGAGGCCGAAAATGAAAATGTTCCCCTTTTCTCATCATGAAGGGATGTCAGTTGATGTCAGAGTCTTCCACAACTTGTCTGTCATTCCAAGCCTCTGGTTGGGGATCGTTAACAAATGTGTGTTGGCCTCATGTACATGGTCCATGAACCGTCCACATGCACAACATACCAGCGGAATCATCAGAAGATCCACAACCTGACAGCTGACCGCCGGGTGGACAACATTGTGTTGTCAGAATTGCGACATTTTGTTCTTTTCAACATTTATCGCGGAGTAAAGGATGCCACACGGATGTCGCCCGCAGGTCCCGCAACCGTCACACTACTCCACATACATCCTTAGTGGGATCTCCCTCCTGCGCTGAGTTTGTTTTTTATTTTCATTTTTTGTTCCCATTTTTTTTAATGTTTTTGGCAAGAGTACGACAAAAAAGACAGAATGGGACCCAGGCTCAGCAAAGCTCAGCGTGCAGTGAAAATCAGGGTCGGCAAAAACAGGCTCGGAGGTAGTGGTGGTATCAAAATTTGGACCATTTCTCAATTTATGCGTGTGTGGCATCCTTGCGCAGGGGCCTTTGTATCGTTCCAATTTTAACGGATGTCCTGAAGGACGTTTAGGGAAAACTGGGGCACAGTCATGGTTCGAGTTTCAAAATGCATTCCAGGCGAATGGCCTGGTGGCTCAGTGGTTGGAGCACCGGCTGGAAATTTGCATTGCGGTATGAGGTGGCAGTTTAAAAACTCTGCGGCCCTTCCGCACGTCTGCTATTAGGCGATTTCATAGCGCCCAGCCATTTGCACACCCCCCATGGGCTGACACATGGTACTTATTACAGACACTGCCTGCGCTCCACCCAAAGGGTTAGGTCCATGATTGTAGTATGCTGGTTGTGGGTTTTGGGGGTAGGACTGTGTAAGCAGTTGGCCTTTGGGGGTCTGATGAGAGTTGACCTTCTGTGTGTGGGCTGTGTGTCGAGTGTGATCCAATGATCTCTAGGTGTTACATGCTGCACCTGCAACAGGCTGCACGGGCCGCTTTCAGGCCGAAAGCCTGAAAACAAGGGCCTACAGGCTCCGTGTCGTTTCAGCCTGAAAGCCTGAAAACAAGGGCCTACAGGCCCTGCGTCGTTTCAGCCCAAATCTGGGCCTTTCCGGCCCTGACTCTTTTCAGCCTGAAACTGAGGGCCATTTTCAGGCCCTCATGAATTCGACCTGGCCTGAAACTCAGGCACCAAACCAGGGTTTTAGCACAGGCCATTCTGGGCCTGTATTCAAGACAACCCCTGGTTGAGCTTCAACGCCAGGGTCTGGCACGTTTCGGCATTGGCAAGAGCAGCCTCCTGGACGGGCCAGCACTATATAGGACTGGCCCGCCCTGCAGGCTGCAGGTAGTTCCTAGGTACTTCCCAGGCACTTCACGTGCAGTTCAGGAGGCAGAAGGTAGTCTTCAGGATTCGGCAGCAGCACTCTGGAGGAGCGCCGCAGGAGTAGTAGTAGCGCTAGCAGTAGTCTTCAGCGCTGGGCGCTAGTAGCGTTAGCAGTAGTCTTCAGCGCTGGGCGCTCTTAGGAGCTAGAGTAGTACTAGAGAGAGAGAGATTGGGCGGAGGCCAGGGATACCTACCTGCAGCGCCATAGCTCCAGCTTCGCCTTCGAGGTACCTGCAGCACAGCGCCATCTTCACAGGTGTAATGACCCGCCAAAGCACAGACTGAGAACACTGCTGATTTCTGGGATTTGCCACTGGAATGAATGCCTTGCCGTGATTCCCGCATTCTGCTGTGTYTTCCAAGTCTGTGTGTGTGTGCATGCCTGCCCGTTTGCTTGCCTGTCTGAGTGCTTGACGGTTGAGTGTGTGTGTGACCCGTAAGGGTACCTGTTGGTTGCAAGGCCCCGCAGGGCCGGTACTTACCTGTGGCCGTGATTTTGAAGGGTTGCAGGGGGGGTTAACACGCAGGTAGCGGGGGTAGGCC